CATGGAAATCTGGATTGTGGGAGGGGAGGGGGACCAGGCAACTCCCTTGCTGGGATTGAATTCCATGATAGTCATCACTCTCCAAAACTCCTAAGTGCCCGGATGGAAGAGTTCTGATCCTGGAGCTGCTCTGCGACCCAGGCCTCCCAGCCCCTGGCCTCCAGCCTCTCCTCTCTCAGATCAGGGTGTCTAGGTCTTTATATCTCTGTTCTCCTGGGACTTAAGTGTCCCGATGTCCAGCCCTCTGACTCCCCAGGACTCGAGTGCTATCCTAACACCAAACCCACCCAGAGGATCCAGGAGTCCTTGCCCCAGCTCTGAGGACCAAGACATCTCCCCATGCCTACTGCTTAATGACCTAGGAAACTACATCTCCCATGAGACTGTGGGTCTGCAGTGTCATTTTTTAAAAAGTCCCCTGTTATTGAGGCGCCTCTGCGAAATAGCGTTCCACAACGCTAACAGGAGGTTGGGCACGGGGGTTGGGGGGTGGCTAATAAATCCTGCCTATGAAAGAGCAGGCATAGTCCTGGAGCCCCGCGGACACCTCGGCAGAGCAGGAAACTGAGGCCCAGAGGGAAGCTGGAGACTTAGGGCAGTGCCGGGCAGGCGGATGGGCCTTTTCAGGGTCAAGGGCAGACGAGGAAGCAGATCCCATTTCCTCCCTCAAACACTCACACGCGATCACTCTGATCCTCCTTTCTCAGACGCTTTATTATCTCAAGTAAGAAAAATAAAAAAATAAATAAGATAAATAACTCAATAAATAAAGAGGAGACCCAGTAACAAACAGCCTGTGGCTTCAGGAAGCATAGCTGGGGCTTCGGCCCTGCGAAGGCCCCACCATGCTCAGAGGGTCTGAGGAGCCCACATCCGGGGGCTCTGGGGCCAGAATCCCTGGCGGGTCTGGGGGTGCTGGGGGCAGGCCTGGCAGCGGCAGGAAGCGGACTGGTCCCCCGGGCACCGGGTCCCGGTATGGCGAATTGGGGGAAGGCAGGTGCAGAGGGAGGCCGTAGGTCTCAGACCGGTAAACGTTGTATCCATCCTCAAGAAGCAGCTCCTGGAAGCTGCAGGCCTCGGGGTCAAAGTGGAGCTAGGGGACAAAGGACAGGGATCAGAGACCCAGGATCCCTCCATGCTGTCCTCCCTCAGACCCAGGAGTCCAGGCCCCCAGCCCCTCCTGCATGAAACAAAATACTTAAAAGCCGGTTTCATCCTTCACCCCAGGGCACCCCAGTGCCCACCTCCCTGTCCTGACTTCAGAGAAGAACATTCCAGCCCAGGGACCAGTTAGTGCTCTCTTAGGCCAGGCAGGGGGTCTGGCTATGATCCAAGGTCCTGGTCACTTTACTGGCTGTGGCTTCAGCGAGCGTCCCTGTGGCCAGCCTGTGGCCAGGAGCAGAGGTTAAGGAGTCACGAGACTCGGCCTCTCAGGCCGTTCTGCCATCCACACATCTCGTGACTGGAGGCCAACGGTGTCTCTGCCTGGGCCTCAGTTTCCCCATCTCACAAGCATCAATTACAACAGCTCCAACCTCCAGGGGTGCAGCGAGCTCGGGGTGTGCAGAGAGTATGGAACCAAGTCCGGCTCAGGCGAATGTTTAAGACAGGGTGCCCCAGATGGTGAAGACGACGCCGGGACGGCGGTGGGCTAGGAAGGTCGGGAAACTCACCGATCCATACAGGGCCCCATCTGGCCTCTGGCACAGGAACCGGGAGGTCTTGACTCCCAAGATTTGAATAACCCCTGGCTTTAAGGCTTTCAGCTCCAAGAGACCTAAAGGGAGAAGGAGGTAAGGGCCTCAGAGGGCTTCCCCCGCCCCTCTGTCTGAGACCCAGGCACCGTGGCCCCCAGTGGTCCCCACTCAGGACCAGGCCTCCCCCCACACTCACTTTCAGGGCTCTGTCGGGCGGCCCCCACCACTGTGCCATCCTCCCTGATCTCCAGGTGGGCTTCTGTCTCCTGGGCATCATCTGTGTAGAGGTACCGCTGCCGGACTTGGCCGCCAAATTGGAGGAGGGGGCTGGAGTCAGGGATGGGGTACGCCTGGCAGGCTCCCAGCAGCAGGACAGCCAGCGTGGGAAACCATAGTCCTGGGTGCTTGAATCCGGCCCCGGCCTTGTCCCAGCCCATCAATGGCTCAGTCCTCAGGCGGGCGCAGGGGTGGGAGGCTGGAGACGCTGAAGGGTCTAGAATCAGTTCCAGATCTGCCTGTCCAGGACGGCAGACTCACAGATCGCTGCTCAGGTGGCCTGAGTGCCTGGGTCCTCTTGCTCGTGATCCCCAGCTGACAAGACACCCCAGGCTCTTGGGAGAGATGCAGAAGCTCCAGAATTTATACCCAGACGGGCCCGCCCTGTCACCCTCCGCACGCCTGACTCATGATATTTGACCTGCTTGGCGGGAGATAGGATTCCACCGTGGCCAGGGCGGCCCGGACAGATGATGCAATCTGGGGGTCCTTTGAGTTGGGGGCCTGGACTCCGGGGTGTAGGGGATGAGGGAGATGAGGACCTGATTAACTGGGACCCAGGTGGAAGGGGCTGGGGTGGAGACCCCTGGGTCTCAAGGAAGAGGATGTAGGGTCTGAGGGAGGAGGGGCTGGGGGCTCGGACCCCTGGGTCTGAGGGAGGAGGGTGCTGGGAGCCTGAAAAATCATCTCCTTGGCTCACTAATGCAGATTGCGTGACAAAAGTGGAATTTCTGTGACCTATCTGAATTTTTAGGTGTGGGGGTGGGGAGGGCAGTGGTCTGACACTGGGATTCATTGATTTTCAGGAAAACAGCAACTGCTACATGAACAAAGCCTCCTCAGCAGGGACACAAGTGTCCTGTCTTGGAAGCCTCCCACCAGGCAAGGGGCCAGTCTCAACCTCATCAACCCCTGTTCAGATGCTCAGACCCCAGACACCCCAGCCTCCTCCTCCCTGATGCAATCCTGGTGTTTCTTTCACCAGAAAACTATCTCAGGCCCAAACAGGTGCTCCCAAAATAGCCTGGGGGAGGGGCGGGTGAGATTCTCTCACTGGAGTTGGCAGCTGAGCCGGGCTCTGGAGGGGGCAGTTAGACCCAGAGGGAAGAGGGGTTGGTTAATTTGTTGGAGCCGCTAAGGGTGGGCCTGGACCCCTGGGTCCGAGGGAGGAGGGTCTGAGCGCCGGGAATTCTGAGTCTGGAGAAATAATGGTCAAATCTCCGGTGAATCCAGTGAAATTCCTGGATCTTCGCCAGGACTTATCTTCAATGCAACGGCCTGGCTGCCCGGGCGGGGTGGGCAGGCGCGGAGCCGGCCCCCGACTGCGGAAAAGGCTTCGGTCGGCGGTGGTCGGCGGCGGAGCAGACGCCGTGGTTCCCGGCGCCAACTGCCGCGGCGTCTGCAGGAGGCAGCGGGGACAAACCCTCTTCCACTCGGGTTTTCAGCGTTCATGTTCGCGGTTGAGGCTGCCTGGGTGGTCTAGGAAGCAGCAGTTGGGCGCGGGACCCTAGAATTTCCACCAGGCAGGGCCTGGGGGCCGGGACCCTGGAATTCGAGTGTGGACAGCCGGGGGATGGGAGATCGCGGCGCGGTGGGCGCGGGGCACCCTCAGGCTGGGGTTTTCGCGCCGCCGCCCGGGGGCTGGAGGAGGCTTCCCATCCGCTCCCGAGCAGCCCGCAAACAGGTTCGCCCTCCTCCCGGGAGGACGCGGCGGGGGACGCAGTATGTCCCCTCCCGGTGGGCCCGGGAGTCGCGGCCCGCCCAGCGGCTGGGGCGTGGCCGGGGTCTGCGCACCCAGGGACGGGCGGCGGCCTCTCAGCCCCGGCACGGAGGGGACAGGGCCACGGAGCGGGACTCCCGGCTCCAGCACCGCAGCTGGCGCCCGGGGTCCGGATCCACGCGAGGATGCGGCCGCTGCCGGGAGGCCAGGGAGGCTCCCCCGGGGGAAGCGGACGGCGCGAGGAGGGGGCTGGAGCGCGGTCCCCGCGCGAGCTGCGCAGCGGAGCGGACGGGGGCCGCCGCCTTAGCCCGGGGCTCGCGGCTCGGCGCGGGGGCGGGGCGGGGCTCCGCCCGGCTGCTACCTGCCGGCCCGGAGGGCGGGGGCCGCCCACCTCCGCCCCTCCCCGCGCCCTCGCAGCCAGTCGGGGCGGGCGGCGCGCAGGGGAGGGCTGGGGGGCCGGGGAATGGTGTAAGGGGTTCCGGGGACGGCCGGATGTGGGCTGCCTTTGAGGACAGAGCGCTCCCGCCACTCGAAGCCGCCTGTGGGTCCGCCACCCGCAAGGAGCTCAGGTGAGTGGAACTAAGGATGGCTGAGACCCGGAGGTGCACCCTGACCTCTTCGCCCTGACGCCCTGCGAGTCTCCGCCACCTCCCAGCTCTCGCGGCCCCCGCACCGGCATCCCCCATCTGGTCGCGTCCTCCATCCTCGCATGTTCCACGCGGACTGGTGCTTCCTGCTCCCTCGGTGGCGGGCTCTGCTCCTCAGGTTGGTGGAATAGAGTCCAATTTCAGTGCACCTGACACGTGGGGAGAGGCGAGATTCCCAGAGGTGGGGGGAAGGTGCTGGAACCTGGACGCCGGCTATTTTGGAAACCACCACTGCTCACTTCTTCCCTCCCTGTCCCCCGAGAGTCCAAGCCTCTCATCCCTCAAAGCTGAGATTCGGGCTCCCAGCCTCCCCTACCTGAGCCCCAGGGGCCTAAACCTGTAGCTTCCTCATTCCCCGGAACTGAGTAGTCCTGGACCCCAGGCCTCTCCTCCCTGACCTTCCTCCTCGGGCTCTGAGTATCTGCTAACTCGCCTTTCCTCCCCTGCAGCCATGTGGCCACTCAGCCATCGGCAGCTCTGTCTGGCCTTCCTGCTAGTCTGTGTCCTCTCAGCGGTCTTCTTCTTCCTCCATACCAACCAAGACGTCTTTCAACACGGCCTAGACCTATCTGTTCTGTGTCCAAACCGCCACCTGGTGACACCTCCAGTGGCCGTCTTCTGCCTGTCGGGTACACCACTGGACCCCAACACCTCCTCTTCCTGTCCCCAGCTGCCTGCCTCCCTCTCAGGAACCTGGACTATCTACCCCGACGGCCGGTTTGGTAACCAGATGGGGCAATATGCCACCCTGCTCGCCCTGGCGCAGCTCAACGGCCGCCGGGCCTTCATCCTGCCGGCCATGCATGCCGCGCTGGCCCCCGTGTTCCGCATCACCCTACCTGTACTGTCACCCGAAGTGGACAGCCACATGCCTTGGCAGAAGCTGCAGCTGCATGACTGGATGTCAGAGGAGTATGCCCACTTAAAGGATCCCTTGCTCAAGCTCTCTGGCTTCCCCTGCTCTTGGACTTTCTTCCACCATCTCCGAGAACAGATCCGCAGCGAGTTCACCCTGCACGACCACCTTCGAGAAGAGGCCCAGAGTTTACTGAGTCAGCTCCGCCTGGGCCGCACTGGGGACCGCCCGAGGACCTTCGTGGGTGTCCATGTGCGCCGTGGGGACTATCTGGAGGTTATGCCTCAGCGCTGGAAGGGTGTGGTGGGTGACCGAGCCTACCTTCAGCAGGCCATGGACTGGTTCAGGGCACGGCATGAAGCCCCTATCTTTGTGGTCACTAGCAATGGCATGGAGTGGTGCCGGAAAAACATCGACACCTCTCAGGGTGACGTGATCTTTGCTGGCAATGGGCAGGAAGGTGCGCCGGGGAAAGATTTTGCCCTGCTCACACAGTGCAACCACACCATCATGACCATCGGCACCTTCGGCTTCTGGGCTGCCTACCTGGCTGGTGGAGATACCGTCTACCTGGCCAACTTCACCCTGCCAGACTCTGAGTTCCTAAAGATCTTTAAGCCGGAGGCCGCCTTCCTGCCTGAGTGGGTGGGCATTAATGCAGACTTATCTCCACTCTGGACATCCACTGGGCCTTGAGAGCCAGGAAACTTTATAGAATAGCCTGATCATTGCAGAATGAGTGGTACGTGTCTCCAGAGACCTAGAACCTTCTGGGTTCTGGTCAGAACCATCACTTTCTGAGTGATGGTCCTGGAGCAGGTGGGCAGCCATTTCTAAAGCAATTCTAGCTGGGCAGACTTGGAGAGAAGGGGAAGCTTTCTGGAACTGCCTGAACATTCTAGAAGTAGCAGAATATCCTGGCAATGTCTGGAAAGGCTCTTGGCAGTTCTAGAAGCTGCAGTGCCCATCTGCTCTTCCCAGCCCATATCTAAGTACTTCTAGATGCAGCGCCCAGGAACAAGGAACACTTCCTCTAGTGTTGATCATCCTGGACTTTTCTAGAAGAGATGTTAATTCTCCCCTGGGTCCTCAGAAGCCTGAAAGAGCTCGTGGTGGGTCTAGAGCAAGTACTCACCAGCTCCTCCCCTGTGTCTCTGGAGTGCTTCTAGGGGGGAGATTTGTTTTAGAGAGGGCCAGGTCTAATGCTTGTGAAGAACCCTGAAGGACCCTTCCAGAGGCAATGGGGTTCTGGAATTCCAGAAAACTTAGGTAAAGAATCTAATGAATGTATAACCAGAAGCTCAACACCCACCATTGCCAGAAAGATTGGGAGGGAAGATAAACTATTGCAGCCGACATCCTGCTCTGCTTCCAGGCTCTGGAAAAACTGGGGTAGGTGGTGAGCAGAGTGGAACTCTCTTCAACCCCTCAGCCCCTAAGAAAGTGTCAAAGATTTTTGGGGGGTGAGGGTTCGGGGGTAGTGGACAGGTAAGGATATGGAAGTGGGGAGAGTGATAGCTGCTGAAATACTGCAGCTTCTGAAGCAGAACTTTCCAGAGATCCAGAGACACTTTTTTTTTTAAAGCTCAAAAACTGCCAAAGACAGGAACTGCAGATGTTGAATCCAAGTTCAGGTTGCCTCTCAGGATTAAGGAAGCTGACCCTCCTCTGCAGGTGGGCTGCTGGGGGTCTGGGTTCTGTCTCTGGAAGTCAGCAGGCATCAGTAAACATGCCCTCGTGGGGTTGCATAAAGCTGGGAGGCACTGTGTTCCTTGCCAACCACTTCCTGAACTCACAGAACCACTAGATCTGGCTTTGGGCAGGTCTGGGATAAAAGGCCCAAGCCTCAAACCCAGGCAGGAGCACAGGGTCTGGCTGAGGAGGACAGGATACTTGACTCAGATTTCAGGAGCCCTTTGCTGCTTTTTGGAGGATGAAGGAAGATGCTTTTAATACAGTCAACTCTGATCACATCCCCCATCCACACATCAAACCCAAGCTTCTAGTCTTCTCAGGGGTTTCAGGGCACCATTCCCAACTCAGCTGCCACAGGTAGAGAGCAGGAGGTGTGAATTAAAAGTCCATATCACCAACCCCTGTCTCTGTAGCATATTTGGAGCCGCGTGTGTGTGTGTTGTAAGAGGGGAAGTCGGGCAGCTTCCAAGGACTTTCATTATTCCTGATGTTTCAGGGTGTTGTCCCTACTTAAATCCCTTGTGGCTGGACTTGTGTGAGCTGTGGTCCCTGTTTTTTGGTTCCCTGTTTCAGTCACACAGAAAAGTAAGGACAGAGAGACCTTCCAGGACCCAAAGGTCCGGGACCTTCAATATTAGCCTCCAGATCTCTCTTCCCACGGGGACCTCCGTGTCCAGTCCCCATAGCCTGGGGAGAGGTGAAGGGGGTGACTCAAGAGTATAATGATTGAACTACATTTCCCATAAAGCTAAGGAAGTGGCGGTGCTAATCTGCTATGGAGAAAGAGGCCCAACGGCCTTCTGGGAGTCGTAGTCCTAAGGTTAAAATATCTGCTTCCCGCATCTCTGTGGCTCCACGCCAGTTTCCAAAGGGCCGGGGGCATTTAACCGGAAGCCTGGGTCCTGGGGCCATGGGAAGGGTGGAAGCTAAACGCCAGAGGCCCGGTGCCTGGCTCTGGAAACCGGAGCACGCAGCTAACTTCCCTTTCGGTAGATACTGGGAAGTAAGTTCCAGTCTGAAAAGGTGGCCGCCTCTGTGACGTTATGGAGCGATGGGCGGGGCCTCCCTTTGTTGCAGTCCAATCCGACTCAGAGTTGGGCTTCTGGGTGGGGCCAAGGAAAAGCCCCGGGACTATCTCGGGAAATTAGGGACCTCACGTGGGAAACTCAAAGAGGAAGGCTCCAAGTTGCTGGTAGACAGGGGACCTTCCGTGACTCAGACCCCAGTGGAAAACTATTCCACGCAACCCATTCACTCTCGCCCCAAACAAAATCCTTAATTTTAGCCATGGGAAAATATTAGAGCAGAAGGTCGTGACCCCGGCTTCCTCTTTAAAAGCCCTCAGAACCTGGCCTGGGCTCCTCAGCGAACCCTAGTGTTTGAAGGCACCTTATAAGTCAAGAATCAAGGTCGGGGAGCGGCTGTGGAGGATGCATCGCTGTTCAGGGTGCATCAGGTCTCGTCCGTTTCCTAAGAAGGGTGTGCCCGACAAATTGGGGGTCCGTTAGTCTTGGGGAAGGGTGGACAAGGGCAGCATGGAGGGCGGCACGAAGTCTTGCTTAAGTATGTAGGGTCCCCAGTTTAGGGACTCAGAGTGTGTTTTGGTTTTGAGGGAGTTCTGAGTTTGATGACATCCTGGTTGGTTCTGTATTAAATGGTTTATTGAGTTTTCAGCTTGAGGTGCGAGGTTTTAGGGTCTGGGGGGTAGTGCCTCAGTGTTGATACACTTAAGGCTTGGAGTTTAGGATCACATCAATTTGGGGAGTTGGGAATCCTATAGTTTGGGAAGGGGTAAGCCGGGTGGGGAATTCCAGGTCCTGAATTTGGGGACTGGTGAGTGCCTCCTCTTTAATAGTTTACTGAGCTCTCAGTTGGAGTGCAGGGAGGTCTCTAAATTGGGGGTCCCCTGGATTCAGTTTCACACTTTAGAGGCATCAGATGAAGGACATCAGTCCTCCTAATTTGGAGATTTCCTGAAGATCCTTGTTTCGTAGTTTGGGGACCTGGGGGATGGGGGTCTAGTGGCGCTCTCTGAGATGAACTTTGGCTTCTCTTTGTTTAGCGTTCGCCTGCTCTTGGTTTAGAGTGAGAGGACCCTTCCTGACGGTCTTCGAGGACTGCGGCTCTTGGCGATGAGGCCAAGTTTTGCCCTCCTGTTGGCAGCTCTGGCCGGCTGCCTGCTTCCTGCTGGGGGCTGTGTCATGTGTAGCCCCTTGGTCAAGCAGGCACTAAAGTCCTTGAAAGAAGATTACCTGCCTGGCCACCTGGATGTCCAGCATCACAAAAATGTGATGGAAAGGGTGGAACAGGCCGTGAACGATTTCAAAGACTTGCCACTTAAGGAGGATTCCTTTATGGGGGCCATTGGTGAGGGCAGAGCAGAGAGCAGACTCCGGGGTCCTGGGAGCGGAGAGGGCTGGGGCCAGGGGGAGGAAGTGGCTGGGAGCAGGTCTCCTGGGTGCACCAATGGAGAAGGCTGAGATTCTGGGGTTCCCTAGGGCTAGTAAATACTGTTTTCCGTACATTTCTTTATTTATTTTTAGAAACCGGGTCTCACTCTTGCTCAGATTAGTCTCAAACTCCTGAGCTCAGGCAATCCTCCTGCCTTGGCCTCCCAGAATGCTAGGATTACAGGCGTGAGCCACCGCGCCAGGCTGTAATAATTAGCACTTATCTGACAATTTTCTGTACAACTCCCAGAAGGCTAATCCTTAACCGGGCCTACCCTTGCCCTGTGGACCCATGCGTATTTCTAAGGCTAGGCAGGCCAATGAGACAGTAATGCTGGAATCTAGGGTTCTATCTCCCCCCACCCCTGCCACAGATGAAGCCACACTGAACACAGCATCCTGGAGTTTGCTGAAGGATCTGAACCGCATCACCGACAGTGATGTAAAAGGTAATAGACCCAGGGTGCTGGGGACCCCACAATCTCTCAGGGAAGCCGCTGCTGGTGATACGTGGTCTCTTGGTCAGACTGCTAGCTTCAGATTCCAGCTCTGCCACTTCCTAGCTGTGTGGCCTTGAGCAAAGGACTTTGAAGCTTCCTCAGCTGTAAAATGCTCTAACATGGGCCGACTCATGTGGCTCACACCTGTAACCCTAGCACTTTGGGAAGTCGAGGCAGGAGGATCCTTTGAGCTAAGGAGTTCGAGACCAGCCTGAGCAAGAGAGAGACCCCGTCTCTACTAAAAATAGAAAGAAATTAGCTGGCCAACTAAAAATATATAGAAAAAATTAGCTGGGCATTGTGGCACATGCCTGTAGTCCCAGCTACTCGGGAGGCTGAGGCAGGAGGATCGCTTGAGCCCAGGAGTTTGAGGTTGCTGTGAGCTAGGCTGACGCCACAGCACTCGACTCAAGGTGACAGATAAGACTCTGTTTCAAAAAATAAAATAACATAAAATAAAATGCTCTAAAATGGAGGGCATACAGTGCCTTAGTTCCTCAGTTGCTGTGAAGATTAAATGTCCATTGCTTAGCCTAGTGGCCGGCATTAGGTTAAGTGGTCAATTTCGATGTCCTTCCCTGAGAATGCCAGGCTCTGCAGACAGAGGCAAACTTCCGGCACCTCATATCTGGGATTGGGGGTGGGGGGACCACTGCACCATTCTGCTTCTTCCCAGGTGAGCTCTTCGTGAAGGAGCTATTCTGGATGTTGCGCCTGCAAAAGGAAACCTTTGCCACCTACGCTGCTCACTTCCAAAAAGAGGGTGAGGGAAGATGGGAGTCTGGGACCCCAGCCCCCTCCTACCACAACCCAACAGTCCCTATCCCCAGCCCTTTAGTTACTTCTCTGAGTCCAGTTCCTCTGCTGCCCCAGACTCCTGCTCCCTCAGGCCCAAGTGCTTCCCCCTCAGACCCAAGAGCCCAAACCCCAGCTCTTCCCCCAACCCTCTCTTCCATCTTCTTTAATTTAGAAATCTGACTGTCGTCTCTCTCTCCCTTTTCCCTTATGAGGCAGCTTATTGTCCCAACAAATGTGGTGAGTCCAGATCATGGAAGCTGGCCCTCTACCCCTCATCCCTGCCCCGTGAATACCCTATCTCCCCTTTCCCCTCTTTGGATCCTGGTGTTTTTTTCATTCTCCACGTCTGAGAGGTTCCCAGGTCTCCAATACTCTTTCTCCACCTTCGATTTCTGGGGGAGCGGGTCGTCTTCTACTTACGCTCTTTACTGAGCCTTGCTTGAACCTGCTTCCTACCCAGGTACGTTCTGGCCCTGTCCCTCCTTAGGATTTGTCACGTGACCCAGCCCCAGCCCGCGGCCCTGTCCTCTCCCTTTAGCCCCGCCCCTTCACGGGCAAATACAGCCTTTACCCTGCCCCTTCAGGTACGATGTTTCAGACTCTGATCTGGTGCAGCACCTGCCAAAAGCAGATTCATGCTTGTCGGAAGTCCTCCAATTGCGGGGGTGAGCGCTGGGCCCAGTAGGAGGGGTTGGTGCAAGAGGGGTGGGGCGAGATGAGAGACTGAGAAAGCTGAGATGGAGATAGCAGATCGGAGAAGGTGGGGTTCCAACCACATGTAAGGGGGTTAGGGGAGGGCAGAGAACCACGAAGGAGTGTCCCACAGTCCTCCCTCATCCCCAGAGCGCAAAGTGGAGGTCCATCAAATGGAAGACATGATCCTGGACTGTGAGTTGAACTGGCATCACGCCTCAGAAGGCCTCTCCTATTACAGATTTTACAGGGTGGGGTCCTCAACTCCTGCAAACTTTGAACCCCCACAGTCTATCATGTCTGTGTGAGCTCCTTGGCCCCTAGATCCACTGGCCTGCACCCACGACCCTCATGACCCATGGTCTCTACTGACCCCTGGGGACCCCATGCCCTGACCAGTAGCATCGTGGACTCCTGTCTCCTGCACCAAGGCCCCGTGATCTTCTCTGTACTCCCCCAACCCCTGAATTCCCCAGGCCTCTGTGACCCCTTGAGCTTGGGTCTAGGTTTGGGAGAACAATACTGAGACTTTGGTGTCCATGAGGACAGCGCCCACCCTGACCAAGCCTATGGTGGGTCCGAAGGATGCAGGCCGTTACCGCTGCGAGCTGGGCTCTGTGAATTCCAGCCCAGCCACCATCATCTATTTTAATGTCACAGGTCAGTGCTGTGGGATTGAGAGAAGAGTGGGTTACACTCTTCAGGAGTTTGGGGCCAGCTCCAGGGGCGTGGCGTTAGCTGTGGGGGCGTGGCTTCCCTTGGGTGTGGTTTCCTGCCTGGGGCGTGGTCTCTGGCCCCATGCACAGGGTGTGCCCCCGCAGTTGGAGACGAGATTCCCTCCTGCAGAGCTCGGTGCTGGGCGGGCTTGCCTTTGCCCTTCCAGGACTGCTCTCCTCTTTGTCCCTTCTCCATCAGTGTTGCCCACACGGGTCGAGGAGGAGAAACCGTCGCCAAACATCGTAACCCAGGGCAAGGGGACCTCAGAGTCGTCCACACCGCTCCAGTCTCCAAACTCGGAGAACACGCTGAAAGTCCGCCTTGCAGGGCTGCTGCTCTGGGCCTCGCTAGTGCTCACAGTCAGCCTCGCTTTCGCGTGAGCACCCCACTGGCGGAGGCGGACTTGGAGTGTGGGGCGGGGTTCCCCAGTGCCCAGCGCAGAAGCAGGTCTGGAAGCTACTGGGGACAGAGAGCCGGACTTCCACTCGGGGTGGGGCGGGCTTGGGGGGGGGACTCCCTAGGACGAGGCTTAGATTATTACAAAATATTTCAGATGGAGAGCGGCTGGGAGGGGTGTCCCGCACTCAAATTAGTACCTAACCTGGATCCTCCCCCAGCATATTGTGTCAAACGAAGGTGATAGATTTCATAAAGTCCTCACTGTTCGGCCTTGACAATGCAGCTGCTGAGCACCCCCGGGTTCCAAAGGAAAAGGCCGAAGACTGAAGGAGCCAATAAAGATTTATCTTGTTGTCTAAGTGTCCGACTCACTCCTCTGGACTGATCCTAACTTTTGGTTTCCCAAAAAGAGAAATCTGGGGATGGGCTCCTGCCTGAGGGAAGAGAGGCCGGAAACTGGACCCCTGGATCCTGGAGGGGCCGGCCGACCGCCATGTAATTCCAGGATCGAGGAATCGGGCAGGGCCTGCCCTACCCACATCTCCTCCCCCAGGCCTGGTCTCCTCACAGGACGCCCCCTCCCCGCTCTTCCTGCCGGGTTTCCTCTTGCCTTTTCCTGTCCCCCACCCAGCGCTGGGAGCTGGGGCAGAGGCAAAGGCTGAACGAGAGCAGTGGAACTACCCAGGCCAGGGAGCCAGGGCCTCCGGGTGCTGCCGGACCCGAAGCAGGGTAAGAGCCAGGGGCCCTGGAGTCCAGACCCCTACTCCCTCGGACCCCAGAGTCAGTCCCTGGCCATGTCCCTTCCCAGGACCCAGGAGTCCAGGGTCCCATCCCTCTCCTCCACCTGGACTCAAGAGTCTGAGCCCCAACCCCCCCCCACTTGGAGGTCCAGGTCCCTTTCACCCCATTGTCACACTCGGTGCCTTAGGAGTTGGGACCTTTCCCATCCTCCCTTAGGGCCATGCTGTCTGGTGAACGGAAGGAGGGCGGAAGCCCCCGCTTTGGGAAGCTCCATCTCCCTGTGGGCCTGTGGATCAATTCCCCCAGGAAGCAGCTGGCCAAGCTGGGGCGACGCTGGCCCAGCGCTGCCTCTGTCAAGTGAGTGCCCATCTCCACAGGACTCCCATCCCTGCCCTGCGATCTGCCCCTGCTTATGGCCCGGTCCCTGCACCCGGGGCCTGCCAGGGACCCCGAAAGGGTTGGCTCTGGTTATTATCCTGAATGGGCAAGTGAGATGGTGGGCAGGGGGAGACGGTGGGACACGGTGATATCAGGGCATGGTGGAGGGTGGCAGGCTGGGCAGGAGATGGAGTTAGGCCGGATGGGCACGGGGATGGGAACACAGAAGGCGCAGGGCTTTGATTCACCTTCCTTCCTCCTCTCCCTGCTCATCTCTTGGAATTTCCTTCTGTGGGACTCGCCTTTATTTATTTATTTATTTTATTTCTCTCTCTTTGCCTCCGGTCTCTGCCCACCCCCCATCTCCAACCGCCCTGGGCTCTCCTCCCTTCTCTGTCTGGGGTCTCTGCCTACCTCTCTCCTAATCTGTCCCCCTCCCCCGTTTCGGTGTCCTTCTTTGTCTCTCCCGTGACTCTGTTCCCCGGCGGGCTCCCAGGTCTTCGTCTTCGGACACGGGGAGCCGCAGCAGTGAGCCACTGCTCCCGCCGCCACCGCACGTGGAGCTACGGCGAGTGGGCGCGGTCAAGGCGGCCGGGGGAGCCTCGGGTAGCCGCGCCAAGCGCATCTCTCAGCTCTTTCGGGGCTCGGGGACCGGGACTGCTGGGTCCGGCAGCGCGGGAGGCCCTGGGACTCCGGGGGCCGCGCAGCGCTGGGCCAGCGAGAAGAAGTTGCCTGAGCTGGCGGCGGGTGTGGCCCCTGAGCCCCCACTGGCCGCCCGCGCCACGGCGCCCCCGGGGGTCCTCAAGATCTTCGGCGCCGGACTGGCGTCGGGCGCCAACTACAAGAGCGTGTTGGCCACGGCGCGCTCCACGGCGCGCGAGCTCGTGGCCGAGGCGCTGGAGCGCTACGGTCTGGCGGGCAGTCCTGGCAGCGGCCCCGGCGACAGCGTGGACGCCTTCGCGCTGTGCGACGCGCTGGGTAGGCCCGCGGCGGCCGGCGCCGGCAACGGCGAGTGGCGGGCGGAGCACCTGCGAGTGCTGGGCGACTCCGAGCGCCCGCTGCTGGTGCAGGAGCTGTGGAGGGCGCGGCCCGGCTGGGCGCGGCGCTTCGAGCTGCGCGGCCGCGAGGAGGCGCGCCGTCTGGAGCAGGAGGCCTTCGGGGTCGCGGACGGCGAAGGTGAGGAGGCCGGGGGCTCTGGGGGCGGGGCCGCGGGGCGCGGGAGGTGGGGCCAGCGGGACCGGCCTTGGGGCGGGCCCTGGGGCGGGGTTCTGGGACTGGGGGCGGGCTAGGGGCGGGGCCTTACCTGTAGGACCCAGTCCGTGGAGAGCCGAGCTGGAGCCGGGCCGGGTCAGCCACATGGGCAGGCCTGAGAGTAGGGCGGGGCCTGTTGGTAGAGTGGGATTTTTACAGGGGCGGGGCTTGGGCTCTGGCGGGGCGGGGCCTCTTTGCTGGCGGTGGTTGGCAGTGTCCTAGAGTGGATCGCACGGGGTCAGGGCCTTCAGTAGACATTTCAGGCTGCCTTGGATGAGGCTGAATGTGTAGCGGCACCTGCACAATAGTAGATCCTGGGGAGTGTTTGTGGGGTCTGGGAGCCGGGCAGTCCTGTAGGATTTGCAGGAGTCTGCAAGATGAAGGAGGGATTCAGTCTGTGTGTTGGAGGGAAATGGAAATTGAGAGAACTAGGAACTGGAGGTGTAGGTATGGATGATGTCCTTGGGGGAGATGCAGAGCCGACAGGCGGAGCCTGTGATGCTGGGGCTGAGCCTGCTGAAGAGAGGAGCCTGGAGCACGAGATGTTGGGTGGCGCTATGCGTGGTGACTCGTGGTGGCACGTGGGGCGTGGGGCGCGGGGCGCTGTGGCAGGAAGCCACTCTGCGAAGTAGGTTGAAGTGGTTCTCGAGGGGCAGGGCCTATGTGGGTGGAGCCTAGAAGGGAAAGGGACTGGAGGAATGGGCTCCTAGGTCGGGCCTGGCGGGGACTCAGAGTGGGCGGAGCCTCACAGGGACCAGCCTTGGATCAGGTGGCCTTAGGCTGAGTTGCCTGCCAAATGTGGGCACCTGGGAAAGGAAGAAGCTAGAGGAAGAGTTATTTGTAGAGGCCAAGGAAGGTTATGCCACAATGGGGCCTGGTCTCTGAAAAGACCAGGCCTAGAACAGGAGGTGGTGTCAATGATAAAATGGCAAGTGTCGGACGAGCCTGGCAGGGGTGGCGCCTGGCGCACTGAGGGCCAGAGGCTGCTCAGGGAGCTCTCTAACCGCTTTTCTGTTTCCGAGTCTCCCTTTGGGAGACAGAGTGTTGTTAGCAATTAAACTGACTGGTTTAGAACCAGGCTTGGATTCCAATATGTTCTCTGCCAGTTAATCTCAGCAAAATCCTAGGTGAAGAGTCAATGGGATATATATATATATGACCTAGCATAGGGCTTGGCACATAGGTGCTTAATAAAGAATGGTGCAGAGGTGGAAGGATTGCTTGAGGCCAGGAGTTGGAGACCAGCCTGAACAACGGCAAAACCCTGTCTCTACAAAATGCAGAAAAATTAGCTGGGCATGGTGCTGCGTGCCTGTAGTCCCAGCTACTCGGGAAGCTGAGGCAGGAGGATTGCTGGAGCCCAGGAGTTAGAGGTTGCAGTGAGCTGTGATGACGCCATGGCACTTTACCCGGGGCGACAAAGCAAGACTGTATATTAAAAAAAAAATGGCAATTATAATCATTGTCTTTTTTTCCAAAGAAAAAAAAAAAGCATTCATTGAGCACCTGCTGTGAGCCACATGCTTTTTAGGGTCCTGAGGAATACAGTGGGGACATTGACAGGTGAGGCTCTGGCTCTCCCAGATCACAAGCCCAGTGGGAAACATTGGTTCATTCATTCAGCTCATTTCCACTGGCCACCGTGCCAGGGCACGGTGGTGCAGTTACCTGCCTCAAAGTGGACTGTCAGGGAAGGGTGTTCAGGAGGTGGTTTCTATCTCCCTGAGGGCTGAGCAGAGTCTTCTCTGTTACCCAGTCCTAGGCACACAGTAGGTGCTTAATAAATACTTGTTAAAAGAATGAACAAAATTTCTGGACTGAAAACTGCAAGATGGTAGGAGTCAGCAGGGAAATGTGTTCCAGGCACAGATAACAGCATATACAAAAGCCTAAACGTGGGAAGCAGCCTCACCTCTCTGACTCCTTGTCTCCTTAAAATTTCTGTCTTTCCAGGCCCAGCCTCACTGTTCCCCCTCTCTCCCCCCCGCAGGCACTGGCGCCCCCTCGTGGCGGCCACAAAAGAACCGTTCCCGGGCGGCGTCTGGAGGGGCGGCGCTGGCCAGTCCTGGTCCAGGGTCGGGATCCGGGCCCCCGGCTGGATCCGGAGGCAAGGAACGCTCAGAAAATTTGTCCCTGAGGCGCAGTGTGTCCGAGCTCAGCCTGCAGGGTCGGCGGCGGCGGCAGCAGGAACGCAGGCAGCAGGCACTTAGCATGGCTCCAGGGGCAGCTGAAGCCCAAATCGGATCCGCAGACCCTGGGGACTTCGATCAGTTGACTCAGTGCCTCATCCAGGCCCCCAGCAACCACCCCTACTTCCTGCTGCTCCAGGGCTACCAGGACGCCCAGGTGAGAGCCACCTCCCCTACCGAGAGAGCCCTCTACTCCACCCGTCGGTTGGAGGGCAGGAAAACTACAACTCCCAGAATTCCCAGGGCACTCTGGGAGGCGTGGTCCAGCAAGGTTCCTGAGTAGACGATAAGGTCAGAGACGAGAGGAGGTACTGGAAGGGGCACATAGGGAATGGTTCACTTCATTCATAGTTGGAGGAAAGCATTGTCTTCCTCAAGGGAGAGTCCACTGTAGGAAAGAAGATCCCTTTGGAAACGTCCATTTCTTGATGAGGCGTGATGGGAGAGTCCATCCGCTGGAGCAGGGAAATCACTTGGTGCCTGGGATCTTGCTCTGCATAAACCTATGTTTTCTTGATAGGGGAGTGGACGGATCCATTGTTAAAAGATGATGGTTTACATTGGAACCATTTGACCATTATTGATGGAGGCAGGTGGTACTGATACTTCTATCTACTTTACATATTTGGGTGATACTAGAACTTCTTTGTTAGATAGCAGAGAGGAAGAAAGGATTGGTGGTGGGATCTGTGGGAAAGTATTGCATCAAGAAATGTAATATTTTATTAGAAAGAAAAATTCATTTATTTGTGGTGATTGGGGAATTCA